AAWTTTKRWTWAAARRMAAAWWWWGTCAGCTTTATCAAGTTTWTGTTATTGTTATAATACAGCCAATTTCAAAGTGCGCAACGTCTTTGAYACCACTCACCTTTCGTTTGTTTCCGAGAGAATTCCGATTGCTTTCCGAATACGATATTCCGAGTATAATCGGAAACTAGTCGGCAAAMGAAGAAAACAACAACAACAACAAAACAATAGAAATGCGTAGGTAATAAGGTTCGTTTATAAATTCAAAGGATCTCGGCTGCCGGATGTTTTTGTTTTTATGGAATTATTTCGTTTATTGGCGACAACACGATGCAACTCTAGTATTGATCCAAAAAATATATATACATATAGCAAAGAAAAACGAAAATCRACTTTTTGGTACCGACTACAACTGTTTACACGTGCATCTTGAAATATCATGTCATAAAATAGAAGCACTGCTGTGTGTTTCTTAATATTTTTTCATCAACACAGCTAGGCCCGGCTTGCCCAAATTTAGCTAGGTACACGTGTATATCCTTCTCGTGAAAGTAAAACGTTTGCTTGAAAATGATACGGTGCCTTAAATGGATATTTTGTAGTGTTGGGTAATTAACTGTTTTCTGAACGCGCTGCAGCATATCTTCACCCACTCGTGCGCCCAAATGTTCAACTGCTATTTTCTGGAATCTTTAAATKAAAAGATCCCTGCTAAGCAAACATGAACACTACTGAGTTTAATGGGTTTTTCTTCCGTTTGATGTTTAATATGACMTGCTGTTTCAATGCTTTTTAATTCATCATAAACCAAGCGTGGTCTTCTAGACTTCATTTGATGCTGTCATATTGCTGAGCTGTATAATATTTTTTTCATTTCGGTAAAATCCCTCTGTTACAGAGTATTCGAGGACTACSAATTAAAGATTAGGTTAGGAATGCTTAATTAAACAAAGCAAGATCTTACCATATAAGGAAATGATAAAGGACGGCRGAGAAAAAGAAAACAAAATAACAATTTTCAACCGAGATGAGATTGGATTACCTGTGGCGAGCACTCCTTTACCCTGATGATTTGAATTTTTCACATCTCCTCGAATACCTTGCTACGCATGCGCATGCTCCATTTRCTAACATTGAGATTGAGGATCCTTTTTGGGTTTTGTCTTCCTGCTACTAATCAGACTAGGATCGAGCGAGTGATTTCGTCTATGGTTGTTTTAAGCTAGGACATCCATTGATCAAGTATGATTTTAAGGAGTTTCTAAATTTTGGGTTGCCTGTGTAAAAATAGTAAAGAGAGGGAACCGAGGAGAGGAACAGGAAACCCGTTAAATGAAGAGGGTAAATGAATGTGTGCGGAGGAGGTTACTCGTAATGAAAGGACTCGTCTGTTCCAATCCAATGATACAGGGTTCGAACCCGATGTGCTATGTATTGATACCTGAGGTTTCTTAAATTTCTCTTTAATTCTTTTTTTTTATTCTTATTTTTTTTGCAGGCGGTATTATTCTTTTTTTGTTTTGCAGGTAAAAAGTTCCAAGTGGGACTTCCGTCCCGTCACTTTCTGCCATTAAATTTCCTGTAATTTTCCCACCTGCTCAATGACATAATAAATATATGGTGCCATCAGGCCTCGACCCCGAAAGGTCACATCTCACTAAGGGTTTTTCAAGAAAAGGTCATACTAATAAACCTCTTTTTTTCTTAAACCCCAATTCATCCATTAAACTATACCAAGCCAGCGACCAATTGAAAATTACGTCGAATCACGGTCAAATGTTGTAATGAGTGTACAGGAAAAAATTGATTTTATAATTGTCATTTTATAATTGTCCAAAAAGGATTTTTGCGGAGGAGTTATACTACTCAGAGCAAACGATTGTTCGTCTTTGTTTGGTTTTGTTTTACTATCTAAGATTSAAGATGACATCCGTCAGTAAAGTTGATCCACAGCTATCCAAAAACCCTTTTCCTTTGTTTGTCGTTGTGTCAGACGTTGGAGTCGTTTCAGTGAAATGTTTTCGCATACTTATAGGTTTTGGTGGGCAAAACTAATTTTATTTTTTTAATGACTTGTTCTGYTTTACTRTTTTCTGTTTTTCTAGAATTTTTAAATAGTACAAAGAATCTCACTTTGTCAACGCTGTCACAATCGTAAGAAGCAAAATCGTCCCAAGTGCAAAATTGAAATAACACGAAACGAAACATCGACTCGATGTTTTGTATTGACACAAAATTACAGAATGATTCAATAATAGCACAGCATTGGGGAAATGCATTTCAGAAAAAATTAAAAGCTTCTGGCAGAACGAATGGATGGATGGGACGTAAATGAATAGAAGCATTAGTAAATGAGAGTGCGATGTTGATGTAAGAAACTGAGCACTTTAAAATCTTAATATAACAGAGATAGGAAGAGMACAGGTCGACTGAAGACTTGGAAAATAATCTAGGTTAAAAAATGAAAAGCTAGATAAAGATCCTGAACTGCATTATCCATGATATAGCTTTGGATGGAACTAACGTTTAACACTTGCGCTTCCTCTGCAATATTAAAACAGTTCAACGAATTAAAGCTCTTTATGCTTTAAGAATCCTTTGATATATTGAGTATTTTGGCCTTTTTGATATTTATTTCATCCTGATTTCATTTCGTCTTGACGTACAAAATCAGTTTGTATATATTGTCTGTAAGAATCATGGTTTACATTTCTCAGTGATGGCGTAGTTCATTTGAAGCAATAGTTTCATATTGTCTTGATAATAAATTGCATTTTATCCTCAAAAAGTCAATTTGCTAAAATTAGTTTCRGCCATTAGATCTTTTCATTTCTTTACAGATAGTTTTGACAATAATGTCTAGTTTACTGAGGGAAAACTAGTATACACAGCTGTTAAAATGACTGGCAACCGTCATCATGGCATCGTTTGYTTGAAGGAATCAATAAGACTGTTCAAAATTCAAACTCAAAACATTAAATCATGTAGCACTAACCACTTAGGATTTTTTTCTTTTTAATTTCCCACTTTAATCTTAGGATGTTTGTAAAAATGTTTTGAAATATATAGCTGAAATGTATATTATAAAAGCGACATTGGTAGACGCTTCAAGGTGTACTTGTCCATATACTCTATATAGTATATAATTGCATTTTCTATCTTTTTTTCATATTTTGGCGTGATTTTACAACTCAATTTATTACGTTTCGCCCATTTCTACGTTGGCGCACATATTCACCTAGTTAATCATTTTGATTTTTTCTTTATTTGATGCCGGCATAATGTTACCTCCCGATCAACTTTTGATCAGTTTCTAACTGCATTTAAGGTTGATGCTTCGCTCTTATCAGTTATTTCTCATCAATAAATCGCTCTTTAGTTTGTAAACAACCTCATAGTGTGTGTATTCATTCGAAAGTAGCGCGAAGACATGCAGCTATTAACGTTTTGCTTCTGCCGTAAGGCAACTCTTGTTATAGTTTGTGCACGATATAACCKTAGGTTGTCATYGGRAAAAATGTCATTTAACACCTACAAAGGTGGCGGGTTTTGAAGTCAATTCATCTTAAGTGTTTCCAATGGTATCTCATCGCTTCCATGTTGAGATTAAAGTCGGTATATTCGTACTTGCCCTTTCTGGAAAAGAGCATAAATTGATACCCAAGCACTTGTTAAGAGATTGTAGAGTTGTCTGAGTACTTCTTTCTCTCTAGATGCTTCACTCTCTCAAGGAATATCTGTCCACCACTCTTCCGGGTAAATCTGTCGTCCTATTGGCCAAAGGCAAGCTAACGTCATCTAAACATGAATACGTAAAGGTGATGTCAAACAGAAGGGTAAAAAAGTTGACATTGTGCGCAACAATCTTCAAKTAACAGGGACGTGGTTCGAGACATCTATTTGTTGCCATGAGAAAACTCTTAGAAGCTCCTGAAAATTCCACTGAAAAGACTGTTCCAGATCGATGTATCCTTCCCCTTGGCCATGGAATACCAATCGTTATTATCAACTATGTTCTTGTTTTCGTTGGRACGTTTGGTAATTTCCTTATCATACGAGCTGTGCTCATCACGCCAAAGTTAAGRAACAAAATCTCAAACTTTCTTCTTCTGAGCCTGGCCGTTGCGGATTTGTTCGTCACAATGTGTGCTCAGCCCTTGCATGCAACATCTGTGGCGTTCACGACATTTTGTCATTTTTGCATCCCTGAGATCGACTATGCTTACGATATTGCAGGAAACTTTTCGTGTTTTTGTTCGTTGTTTCATCTGGCGTCGATAAGTGTTGATAGAGCTCTAGTGGTATCCAAACCACATCGGCACCAGGTGATTATGAAAAGTTATGGCTTAAAGGCGATGCTAGTGATCTGTTGGGGGACGGCTGTGGTTTTTGTTTGYCTTCGAGTTCCTTTTCCTTCAACCTTGATGCTGTCCATTGCACTAATAGTCTTCAACTACATGATCATCATTGGATCCTACGCTCAAATTCTCAACCAAATCAGAAAAGAAAAAGTGAACAGCARAGACCCCGCAGCTGTTCTGTCCCCTGCCTCGCGGGACGCCCGCATGGAGAAACGCGTCGCGGGAACCATTGCTATTATAATCCTCTTCTTCTCTCTGTGTTGGTTTCCTTTACTTGGATTTTATTCAACTGTAAAGAACGCTGTTTTAAGAGAGCTTGGAGGTGCTACATACATGTGGATTCGAACCCTTGTATTATCGAACTCCTCAATGAATTTCATTGTCTACAGCTGTCGCATTGATCATTTTCGCGTTGCTTACCTGAGAATTATAAACCGTATWCTCCGTAGACCGAGAAGAGCTTTACGAGGTGCTAAGTGTAATCCTGCTTTCGACATTTCGTGTACAAGCAAGGATGACAGTTGCTGTAATGGCGATAAGGACGTTAAAAGAACCGTGTCCTCGAGATCCATTAATACATCGAGAAGAGCTAAGGAACTGTCAAGTGTTGGAGATCAAAGTCTTTATAATAACTTCCCCCTTGAGCTGGAACCTCCTCGTGGAAATTACTTTGATATCAGGCAAAATGATCTCCACGATTCGTGTGATAAGAGGGTTTGATTAATTCAAGGCTCTACTTTATGCATCAGTTTATCAGATAAAGTACGCTGTTCTGCCCAACAATGATCTCAATCCGTTGTCCACTAGATTATAGACCCCTAGCACTTAATGTCCTTTGAGATATCAGAAATATGAACTATTGAGGAAACTCAATTCCAAGGATTATTAGTGTGCGGAGTGGAATATATACGAACTACATTCGCTTCCCTTCATTTAAAACTCTCGTTCGTTATGGTAGACATCGATACTGATTCAGAATACACAAGAGATTTCTCATCTGATAAGAGCCACGCTGGATCACAGCAACATGATTGTATCAAATACTAAACGGATATATATTCGCTTTTTAAGGGATCTTTATCTCAAAAAGAAACATTTTAAAAGAACAAGAGTTGCCGAATATGCTTTGAAAAATGTTTGTCTTGGATAATTGTTTTTTTTTTTTGGTTTGCACAAATCATGGAAGCGTCTTTGCAGCTTCATGTTTTATTTAGATTTGGATTTTAGCTTCTAAGATTCTAGTTGTCACGTATTTTATGTGGCAAGCTGGAGGTTTCAAATTTTCCGGCCATGTCAAATTCTTAATTGGGTTCGGTTTGTCAAACTAGGCCTCTGGTGGCGTGTCTGGCATTCAGTTTCAGATGATTATCCAATAAAATATAAAGATATCTTTGGAATAGATATCCAGAATTTATCTCAAATTAGTAATTTGTATAACAAGGAAATCCCGGCAACATCTAAATATATTCAAAGGACAATGTCGTTTCATTTTTATTTTGTTTGTTTGCTTTTCGTTTTTTTTATATATTTTTGTTTATTTTTTTAATATCCGGCGTGAGGTAAAAGATACTTCAAATGAGTTTCAGAAATAAACATAGAGCATTTTAGAGCTAATTTAAGACAGAAAAAGGAAATTATACCTTACGTTAGAAAGTTCTAAAATACTCTTCCGAAGATTAGTCACACCGCGATGGCAATGTTACGTGCGCGTGGGCGCCTTCAAAATCATGTGCTTCTCCAAGTCCATTAAATTCGCTACAATCACCTAGGAATTAAAACTGATAATGTTTTTGATAGAGCGCGGTTAATCAATTAAAATCTAAAAGTATCCAGTTATATAAATAACTGAACAAATTGAATCGCCAAAGAACGAACGTGATTTCCGTTATATCTTGGAGATACAGGTAGATGTGCAAAAAAAATAAAATCTAAATATAACTGCAAGGAAGTACAATAATACAATCGCTTTTCATGTTTTGCGCCTTTTAAGCCGAAAATATGAGATGMATACCGACAAGTTATCCCAATGAACTTAAATCAAATCGATTTCCCGTCCCACGCGCATAAAGCGGTAGCTGACAAGAACCGGGTCGGAAAGTATCGAAGACATAACATCACGTTAAATTGCGATTGGTTCTCTGGACTATGAGTACAAAAATAAATGCGTTGTGCTTTTACTAAATAAGATAAACTCAGACACACCAACGATGCATTAAAATTCGTATCACGTATGCCTATTTATCATATAATTATCTATGAAATACCTATATTTCTCCATTTCTCCAATTCGCTACGCTCACTCGTGAGAGATCTTTTCAACACTCGAAGATAAAATACGTATCTCCGCACGCCCATGTAATATCCTCTATATATTATATACACCATCATAATACTTTCTCTACTAACATTTGTGCAAAAAAACTCAAATACAGATCGCTTCATTCGCTTTATGTCATTGAATTTACTTTACGGATGAATTTGTTGAATTAAATGTGTTAAGATTTAGTAATAGTAAGTAAATCCTCTGTTCACGCGATCAGGGATAACTGAATCACAAGACATGGGATCAAAGACGTTGGCTTGGAATCAGGAGAAAAAATCATCAGATCAAGGATCACAATGTTCAGGATTGCTACAATAATCCACTTCGAGTTCATTAGTCCAACAATCCAACAAATCCTCATTCCATTTTTCTAGTTTCCTGATGTTCACGAATATTAAAAACCTCGCCACATCCTCTTGTCATAGAATTACATTTACAGATTTGACATCAACGTCATTTATTGTCTGATGTRATTACAGTTTCGGGTGTGAAACARCGTATATACGTAGGACGAGTGTCATTGCAAGTACTCAWAGCACAGACAGATGGCTGCAAAGGAGCTAACTTCCATAGTATTTGATATTCTTATGATCAGCTAGTTACATGGCTAATTCACACATAACAATTGTGTACATGGGTTTGCTTTTGGTTTTAAAATGAATGGGTGAAAAGTCAAGAAGTAAGAATGACACAAAAAGGCTCACAAAATGCAATTAAAAGAGGAACATCGAACGCAAAACAAACGACATCCCTAGATAAACTTTGCGGTACTTAAAAAGAATMAATGAATCAAAATCATTGGACTTAGGGGAATGTGTCTTTTTTCAATGTCATATACATCTAAAGCTTGTTGTTAGTTTTTTTTAACTCATCTTTTTTTCCCAATGAATGATTACTTTAGCTCCATCACTTTTTATTACACTTTTTTCATCTCGAGACGTTTTTTTACTAGATTCAGTCATGTTGATGTATAGGAAATGTTAGATACYCACTGTATCATTATTACTACGAACGTAGACTTTCAAGACATTTTGTACACGCACAGGAAATTGAATTTCCAGCGTTACTTCCATATCCGTACCATCAATATTATGAAAGGCAACTTTTTTAACATTATTTCTTAAGTTATATAGTTCCGAAAAAGACCTTGATTTACCAAATATATATTRTTAACAACTTGTGCAATGAACTTGTAGACTTTGGGTGTAAATCGAATAACACTCACGTGACTAAATCAGAAAATTGTTAATAAACTGCATGACGAGTGCTAAACATGTGACCAAGTAATGAATTAATTRTGAGCTCAAATGCATGATCTTCTCTCCGACGTSTGGATTATTTTTTTCCATTTTACCTTGAAGGCCTCACACCGAGTAATCCGACCACTCGATATCTGAGATGCCTTTACTGAGCATTTCGCATATAAATAAGCTCATTCAATACTATTAACGTACCAATATCCCGTATGCTTACGTACATTGCTATGATATCATACATTGGACAATCCAATCAAAAAGGTATATACGTACCTTCCTGGATTTCTAGAGGCTATAAACTCATAAGTCTGCTCAAGGAGGTCATCTGTTCGAATGAACTATGTGCATCAAATAACTAAATTCTGTATCATTATTTTGTATCATTTTTTATTTGAGAGTAAATACTTTATTGGTTTGTGTGTTGCTCTCTTCCTGGTGGCAAGAGGCATACTTAGGTATCCTCCTCTCGTTATATGTTCGATGTGACCGCAGTGCCAGGCAATATAATKAGTGTTTATATGTAGTCTTATTGATGGTGTAATAAAAAAAGTAAAGTAAAAAAATGGAAGGAAAAAAACGAAGGGGAAAGTAAAAAGGGAAATTTTTGAAGGAAAGCAAGATATATAATTTACAATAGATTTTCTGAAAGTTTATAATTATAAAAAGGTGTTAAATAAAAGATAGATAGATATAAAAATAAAATTTATAAAGCAAGATATATTGATGTCTACCACTTTTGTCCATAAAATGTCTGCTATGACTCTATTGAGACATTTTTAAGCCGGGTAGTAAATTGAATGAAAAACTGATTGGGGTGTAGTTAATTGATSGGGAATCTGATTTGACAGTGAATTATGCCTATCGCACTGTCATTGTCAAAACCTTTCGTGAAGAAAAACATCTTTACTATTAYCATTACCTTTCCCATCGATTTGACGATCTCTGATTGATCTTTCAGTTTGTAATTATCCCCTGATATTACCGTTATCATTATATGCAMTGGACAACATTTATAAATACCACGATGGCTGATATATATATATGCAGAACATTACGTCGAATGAAATTAAACAAAACACCAACTTGAAGCTATAATGATTCTTTTTTATTGGACGTTTCGGCACTTCGGCCTTCTTCAGAAAACTGAGTGTTTTGCGCGCGCCACTCTCTATAAATCCTAACAACTAAGCAACCAACAAACATTATAATTCCATGCTTCTGCACGTTCATTTCATTTCCAGCAATAATAATACCATTGCCTTATTAACTACAGTACTCAAGCGTTAATGCAATTCTAGCTCTGTTTACCCATTTCAGACCATGCGTCATTTACCAATATTGTTTTAGTGCGGGTTTGCAACATGGCTTTGAAATTATCGAGAGTTTCTTGTGTGTTGGGAAATGTTGCTAAATARCATACGACATTTTATTTAGTATTGTTTTAGAGGTATTAACTTAAAAAAACGTTTGATATTTTTTGTTATTTCAGGGAATAAAACCGTGACAGAATCATGACAGAAAACCGGTAAGAACTAARCGTAACGAGTGACTATTACTTAAAAGCAATTAAATAGAAAATAGAACCTATATGGCATATTATTGTTGACTTTATATCCTTTGCTTAAACTCCCGATGTATTAAAGCAACGGAAAATGTCTGTAAGTTAATAGTTTGAAAGAACCCTCTCGCGTTGGAGCTATTGGTAAAGCTAGACGCACCTGTCTAGTTGGGCAAATATTYTTTCGTGTTTTCAGTAGTGAAGAATCACTTTGAAGAGTTGAGGTAGTCAAATGGAAATYATCAACGGAATTACCGCCTATTAAAAATGTATTAATCTAATATATTCTACCTGTATATACTATACATTATTAACAAAGTCGGTATTATATTTTCCTCCACCTTAATTTTCCAAGATTACAAAGAATCAAAAACGTACGATATAAAAAAAAAAACACTGAATTTCCTGTAGGCATCAGACCACATGGATTTATGAAATTCAGTTCTCGGTAGGAGCACGAAAAAAGTAGTCGATCATTGCTGTAAATATGGGATTTGCAGTGATCAAAAGTTTGCCCGCAATGTTGTTCAAAGAAGCAATTTCCGATTTAGGAAAGGATGACTTAATATATAGCARGTAAAAAAGCCTTGAATTTCCCCCTTTTAGCTGGTGAGTTTTCTACTTGTAACAAAACGCTAAGTAACTACTTTGTCCTAAGAACAACATCGTAGAAAGAGACTTCAGTTATAGTGTTACGTTAAGTCAAAGGAATTGGTTGGAATACAAGGGCAAGTTTATTTATTTTTTAGATAAATATAAAGTGCGACTCAAATAGCAATATGTTAGTCTAAGATAGCAAAGTGCATTAAATTCTTAAATAAATTAATCTTTGTTTAGTGTTTAATCTTGAAGGATTTTTCGATCATTTGTGTTTTGGTCTACGGAGGTGCTACAGCCTCTGTAAATTAAGCCTTCTCTCAACCTCTTCTTGAAATACAACGACCAAAATGCATTTTGACCGTGGAATATTCGCACGATAGTACAGTATTCATGCAGTAGTGCATGATTTTCAACTGTAATCCTACCTGACTAGTTGGCATTAAAATCTCGATCAATTACCAAAATAGCATTAAATGATAAAACTATAAACTTAGATTGAAGCACTTGGAAGTCATCGCAAATGAGTGCCAAATGAGTTTTTGTATATTATTACGCCTCYAATAGCACAAAAAGACAAAAACAAAGTGTCGTCTTCAAAAAMGAAAATGAAAGCAAAATCGACATAAATGAATGARCTATAAGTTCCGTTAAAACTTTACGACTGMCATYATCAGCATGTCGACCATGCAAGAGAATAAAAGGTCTTATGTCAACTTTCAGCTGTCAGACTAGTCACTCTCGGTAGGGCATTGATTTACAAACTTTACGAGCTGTCAATAACGCGAAAATTACACCCTTTTCGCTTTCAAGCGGTTAAACATTTCTTTTTTTCACAATTCCAACCGAATCGAGGGCCGAGTGGGTGAAATTATAGTSGTTCATGACGATTTCGCTGTKCTGAAGAAAGGAAATGGCATCTCAGTTTTTTTTTTAAGTTCAAGCTGAGTACATTTAACTTATATCCTTTCTTTCCTTTATAAAACCGATCGACTCGACAAACATTAAGGGCGATTGGAGTGGACACAGCACAAAAGACAAAGAGAAGGACAATCACACTTCTCGCTGTCCAGTTGAACTGTGAATAATCCATCATCCACTATTGAATGATAGKGTAAAACGTCATTTACTGGAAATATATTCTTGGATTGTTTGACAAGGTATAGAAAACTGGAAACCTGACAATATCAATTTTAAAAGTCGTAGCTCTCTGCTCGTATCATAGGCGTATGATTTTTGGCACCTTCTTTGCATCGTCTTTGGATTAAAGTAGCCACTGTGTTAAGTGGAAATACGGGAGTGAAAGCAAGAAAAAACGAAGTATTTTACACTTTCGAATTTGATTGTTTAAGACATCCGTAGCTCACTTTCCAGACAAGCTGTAAATTCTGCACTGCAGGTCTCAGAGTGCTTGAATGAAAAGTGCAGGATATCAGAGAAAGAAAAATAACATTGATTATTTGATTTTTCCACGGCTTGGAGTGAACATAATTGAAAATCGATCACATGATGTTCCAAGAAACTGAAAAAACGAGTCAAATTTGACAGAGCGAAAATATAACATTTTGGTTTTCAAATTGTGTAAATAAGAACTAATTGTGCCACCAATCTTTTTTCAATCTTCTTCAAACAAACACAGTTAAGTAAGTGTAACTCAAGGAAATATAATAGCTAAACAGTTAGGCCATAAAAACGGCAACGAAATGGCACTTGTCACCGCCGACGCTAACTGGACGAGTCTTCCAAGTCCTGTTGATGATAAATGTGTGGTTCCATTTGCTCAGGGGATCGCCATTGCTGTYATCAACCTATTACTAGTTATATTAGGAACATGTGGAAACCTTCTCATCATCTTCGCTGTTCTCAAAACKCCTCGGTTGCGCAAAAGAGTGTCCAATTTCCTTCTTTTGAGCCTGGCAGTGGCGGACTTGTTAGTGACTGTACTTGCACAACCTTTGCATGCTATTTCAATGTCGTTTAAGACAGTTGAACAACGTTGCATCCCAGAAGTAGACTTTGCGTACGATATCGCGGGGAATTTCTCTTTCTTCTGCTCAGTCTTCCATCTGTCAGCGATAAGTATCGATAGGGCGCTTGTAGTCACAAAACCTCATCAGCACCATGACATGATGTCCAAAAGAGGCTTGAAAATCATGCTATCGGTTTGCTGGGGAACAGCGGCGGCGTATGTCTGTCTTCGAGTGCCCTTCGCTTCCACTTTGATGCTATCAGTTGCAGTTCTCGTAGCGAACTACATCATCATCAGTGTTTCCTATTCAGTGATTCTCTACCACATCACACATGAGAAGCCCATTGATCCACTAGCTCCAGAGTCGCGGGCTGCCTCGAGAGACGCTCGCATAGAGAGACGAGTTGCGGGAACAATATCCATAATCATCCTCTTCTTTTCCATATGCAGTCTTCCTCTTCTTGGTGTCTACATCACTGCCAAGGAAGGTGTACTCAGGAACATGGGGAGCATCACATATATGTGGGTTCGTACGTTGGCGTTGTCAAACTCGTCCATGAATTTCATCGTGTACAGCTTTCGTATCCACCATTTTCGTGCCGCCTACCTGAAGATTTTAAGARGCATATGTCAAAAACCTAGACGTCTCTTTATTAACTCCAAACCCAGCAGTTCTTGTGGTTCTACATTGAGTAGAAATAGGAATATGATGGAACTTGGCTGCCCTACTGAGGGAGGAAAGACAACCAGTTATAATCTGAAAAGCTCTAATACAGCTAGATTGAGCAGCAGCTGTAAAAATGAAGATAGTTGCAAAAATAATGATCAACTTGTTTAACATTGCCTTCTTCAAAATCACGTTCAGCTCTATATCAAAGATTATAAGAGCCCTTGAAGCATTTTAGGGATATTTTTTGGTAATCTATTCGCATTCTTCTTTGTACAGCTTTTGAACTTTATAATGATATAATGATGATTTGATAAAGAGATATATCATTAGTCCTTTTTGTAAATTGACTAGTCTTATTATTGTAAATATAAACCAGTTGCCGGATGCACAGAAACAAAAAAATTCGCGAAGGAGACAACTGGTCGGGATAACGGCCCGGGCACCAAATTTCGCTACGGATAAAACTGAGGAAGAACGAAGATCTTTTTTGACAAGTTGTCGCTAAGTGATTTACAGAAACTTGATATTATGAAGTGGAGTTCTTTCCATGTTACGTAAGAAATGTTTTACGCGAAGTATACATAGAATATATTATAGAAACACTCGGAAAGGGTTCARTTGTAAAATTAACGCAAGCTGGTTCGAGTATATTTTCAAATAAGCTTTTCTAAGGACCTGGAAGCTCTTAAAAATATTTGGAAACCAATTTAAAAATATGCTGYATGAAAGCTATTAAAACGACAACTCATATACGTTTAAATATTCTGTAAGGAATTATAGTTAGTCAACTACTTCGCGGAGAAAGCGAAACCACTTTTTCTTTTGTAAAGATTTACACTTGATATGTAATCAAAAATAGATATTTTGTAAATAAAATGCGGAGTCGACTTTCAAATAATACGTTGACATGTTTGACTTAATATTTGCATATATGGGCGCCATTTTGTTTTCTTCTAATATCAGTWTATGAKCTGAGCTGATATCCCAAAAGTCAACCAAATCGTGCGCTTTGCTTTTCCTTTGCCTATGATCATARACCATCATAACAAAGGCGCTTATCATTTATCTAAATAGATTTTGTCAGCATATCCTTAAGTACCATG